TATCGCATGTATGGATCGATCACGACGAGTTTAACGGTGTTGCCGTGCCATCGTCCGCCACCACCAACAGCACCCCGAACGCGAACGCGAACACGGGCTCGGCTTCGACCAGCTCGGCATCATCTTCGCCCGCCTCGTCCGTCCAGCCACTCTCCATATCACCCATCCTCCCGTCACCCATCAATCCCTCCTCAACCAGTACCCTGTTGATGGGTGTACGACCGTCCCTTCACCCCATTCAAGATCCAAAGCAGACGGGCGCTAGGAGGTCCCATTCTGCGGGTCCACCAACCAGGAGCAGCACCGGCTCGTCTCCATATTCGAGCGACCACGAGATTACCAAACATTCTATCTCGTATTTGCATCGTGAATACTTGCATCCTCACCACATCCAATGAGCGATTGAGAGGAGCCAAGGTGCACCACCCCCATGCGGTTTTCAAACTGGAGCGTCGAACCACCCACCAGCAGGGATGCAGGCTACAAAAAAGGGGATCCACACCGGCCACCTCGTTTTGCATTGCCTTTGGAGACCCACTCATCTCCCTGGTGCATCCTCATATTGTTACCCTCCGGCGTTCTAGACCAATCCGAGCTGTTTCTCCACAAAAACAAAAACGCCGCATGGACGAGATTCTGCATTCACCCAGGATTCACCCTCAAATTCAAATCTCCCAAATACCTCTCCACTTCTATTTATTCCTATAAGCGTGTCCTATGCGCTGTCCACTATCTATTCCATCGTGTCTTTTTCCTTTTTCTTTTTTGGGGTCATTGAGTATTATTTGTCGCGCACAGCACAATATTTTTTGTTTTTCTTGCAAATTGTATATCAATCTGCGTCTAAACGCCAGACACTGCCCTCTCTCTTGCATTCTTAATACATCCCATCTAATCTCCACGCTCGACCAAACGTGACCAAGAAATTACCAAAATTTAAAATACCAAATTAATTATGCTGATAATTATAGTACGCAATATGTCGAATATGCCAAGGGGTGGCAGGAGCTCTCGGCTTCTCGAAAAGGTCCAAAACGGGTGTGAGATCGCTCGCTCGCTGCTGCCTGGAGAAGGCAACTGACCGCCCGCCGCCCTTTCCCCTTCTCTCTTGCTTACCTCTCTCTCCTTCCTCGAAACACATTTCGAGTTTTTATTCACTCGCTCTTTCTCTCTTCGTTAAAACTCGAATCGTATTGGAAATTCCGTATTGCAAAGGATGAATACGCCTGCTGCACAGGGTCGTCCACGACAGATCAGTAACAATAGCCAACCAGGAGAGAGAGGTAAGCAAGAGAGAAGGGGAAAGGGCGGCGGGCGGTCAGTTGCCTTCTCCAGGCAGCAGCGAGCGAGCGATCTCACACCCGTTTTGGACCTTTTCGAGAAGCCGAGAGCTCCTGCCACCCCTTGGCATATTCGACATATTGCGTACTATAATTATCAGCATAATTAATTTGGTATTTTAAATTTTGGTAATTTCTTGGTCACGTTTGGTCGAGCGTGGAGATTAGATGGGATGTATTAAGAATGCAAGAGAGAGGGCAGTGTCTGGCGTTTAGACGCAGATTGATATACAATTTGCAAGAAAAACAAAAAATATTGTGCTGTGCGCGACAAATAATACTCAATGACCCCAAAAAAGAAAAAGGAAAAAGACACGATGGAATAGATAGTGGACAGCGCATAGGACACGCTTATAGGAATAAATAGAAGTGGAGAGGTATTTGGGAGATTTGAATTTGAGGGTGAATCCTGGGTGAATGCAGAATCTCGTCCATGCGGCGTTTTTGTTTTTGTGGAGAAACAGCTCGGATTGGTCTAGAACGCCGGAGGGTAACAATATGAGGATGCACCAGGGAGATGAGTGGGTCTCCAAAGGCAATGCAAAACGAGGTGGCCGGTGTGGATCCCCTTTTTTGTAGCCTGCATCCCTGCTGGTGGGTGGTTCGACGCTCCAGTTTGAAAACCGCATGGGGGTGGTGCACCTTGGCTCCTCTCAATCGCTCATTGGATGTGGTGAGGATGCAAGTATTCACGATGCAAATACGAGATAGAATGTTTGGTAATCTCGTGGTCGCTCGAATATGGAGACGAGCCGGTGCTGCTCCTGGTTGGTGGACCCGCAGAATGGGACCTCCTAGCGCCCGTCTGCTTTGGATCTTGAATGGGGTGAAGGGACGGTCGTACACCCATCAACAGGGTACTGGTTGAGGAGGGATTGATGGGTGACGGGAGGATGGGTGATATGGAGAGTGGCTGGACGGACGAGGCGGGCGAAGATGATGCCGAGCTGGTCGAAGCCGAGCCCGTGTTCGCGTTCGCGTTCGGGGTGCTGTTGGTGGTGGCGGACGATGGCACGGCAACACCGTTAAACTCGTCGTGATCGATCCATACATGCGATA